TTCTCCAATAAACGTTCCAGTTTTTGAATATTGTTTTAAAACTTTCTCTCTGATTTGTATGCTCTTCCTCTTGGTCTTCTTAATGCCATTTGTTCACTAATATTCTCTTAACAAACCTCCGAGGCATTAATCATCTAAATTACATACAGGTGGACTGTATAATAATTGGGTTCACAGATTTTTACAGATTTACACTTCCAGATTTTTATTGTAAGAAATACTGAAAACCACGTATCATTCACCTTCCACTTCATTATGCACTAGATTGAGTTATTCTGCCACATGGGCAGTCCAATATGTCGCAAAAGATGTACAAATATTAACGGGGTGTAAACACTTTTGCAAGGCATATTTATATAGAGATGTGAGCATCTTACACTCATCAGGCCCCTTAAGTACAAGCAGAAGGAAATGTTGCAGTGACAGAAACCCTTCAAGAAGGTCAGAAAGGGACGATTCATATCGATTGATTTCTCTGTTTTGTGGAAAATGTTAGAGAACGGCAGTCTATCTCTTAATCTAGTAAGTATTTGGAATAACTTTGTCCCTGGACTCACATTATCATGTTCTTTTTCCTTTTCCACTGTTTTTCAGATGAATGTACCTTTTAAATCTGCTCTAGATTAAAAGTGCAACAAGTGCAGTTGTTGTTTGGATGTTATTTTGTTCCACAGTTTATATTTTTAGAGTGCATTTCCTCATGGAGCTCCTTTGTTTCATCATCGTTTCACAATCGCTGACATCAACACAGTTTGAGACGACCAATCTGAGTAACTGAGCCATAAAATACAAATGTTTATGGATTTATTGATTTTGAACAGAAACGCTGCGTCACACTCCACTGAATCATATAAAATGTGCTTGCATATCTAGCCATTTTCCAAATTTGTGCGCTTGGATATAAGTAATGAGGATGTTTTTATTTTCTTTATTAGAAGTAAGTGAGTCAAAGAGAGAAGATCTTTATTTGCTTACAAGCTGTTTCAGAAGACGGTACACAAGGTGAAGTATCTTGTAGCCACTATTGAGGATTAGAAAGGTGGCTATACTCTTAAATATCTAAGTAAGGGAAATAACGCACAGAGACGTAGTTCTTGCTGCTAGGCCATAGACGAGCTGGAGATTTATTACACTTCCACGGATTCCTCGTTACAGTTTCTTCAGTTCAGTACAAAATCTTCATCGTCATCGTCTTGTCACAAAAAATCTCCTCGAAGTCTTACCATCAACCTATTTTATACCTTCTCATCTTCATCAGTGTGTGTTGGAAAGTTTCAACCAATGGCGTGCAACTGTTGTTTTGCAGAAAGATTCTGGCACGCTTCATACTGAGTGTGTATTGGGCGACCTTTAAAATATTTTGGACCTCACGAACTCAACATCTGCTCCATTTCAGAATTGCTGAATAGTATAATTTATCTCAAATTGTTGATTTTATCTTGCACAAACAGACATCCTTTCCAGTAAATTCTGGCTCCATTTGCGCTTTGCACGCAAATGGAAGGAAAGAATTCGGTCAGGTTGACCTGGTGCGAAGCCAAAGTCTTCGCCGAGGCGCCAGTGTCTTTTTTCCGCCAAACAACTCCTTAGATAGTATTTCCGCTCTTACACCACACGATTATCACACGCGTATCATGGCAACAAAGAACGTTGATCAGTCAGTTGAAAGTACATTTGCCATAATTATCCTGTATAAAGATAAAACTCAAGACAAATTAAACAGGAAAAGCCCAAGATGTACGTGGTTTGATTTCTAAATGATAGGTATTCCACCTGTTCCAAAGGCAGTTTGTGTTATTTTTGAACATTCAACAATTTCTTTTGAACCTTTCTGACCTTCAAACATTATTTTGAATATTTCAAAATTAAATGGAAAAATGTAACAGAGATGCACATGAGTTATTGTTAGAAGCAAATATAGGAAAAAGAAAATGCTCTTTCCACTGAAACGGATAAAAGGACATTTAATCTCACAACTTTTATCATGCTAAGCACCACTAGATTAAAAAAAAAGTTAAAACATGGATCTCGTGAATCTTGTAGAAAAATGAATTACAAAACAAGGACAAGTGTGTCCTTTATCTTGTAAAATCAACCATTACAAGGTGGTTACTTTCTTATTGATAGGTGCACAGACATTTGGAAAAAGGGGAACCACCAGGTGACTTAGCTCTAGTGTATTATACATCTTTTGTCTATTTCAAATTAATATCTATATGCTGTCTTGGGCATAAAATAAATATTTCACAGGGGCACTTTTTTTGTCCGGAGGAAAAATGGCAAGTACTCTAGCGCCTCCTAGTGTCCGTCTGTGAACATCCCAGAAAAGATGTATAGACTTCAAGATTACATCATGTAAAATAAAAAATAAAAAAACAAAGATATAGAGTTCTCCAAAGAAAAATAACTACCCACACTGGGCTGATGGAAATATCCATACCGGTCAGCCCGTGTCCAGTTTGAGTGAAAGGAGGCGCGCGGGATCCGCGTTGAGGTAAAGCAGCTTCAGCGCGAGGCAACCGCAGCTAGGCGCCAGCTGTGTGATTGGTTCGCTCTCCAGCAACAGCAACAGAGATGCAACAGTTGAAGTATAAGAATACATGAATTTCACAAATCTTGCAACGTTCAGGAAAGTGTTGCATTTATATTTAGCGGGAAGATGGGTGAAGCAAAGTACAAATGCATGCCACACTGCTCAGATTTTTGTTTTATTGGAAGATAAACGTTTTAAAACCACGTTTCATTTTATGTTGTAGTTGATGGTCAAATATTTTCTCACTTAACAAACCAGTTTTTTGCTCTGTGTGAAAATTTTTCCCCAGACATGTTTGCTAATAATCAATGAAAATATCACATTTAGAGATGTGATTTTGCTTGTTGGTGCATATTTTTGGTTATGAACGAAATAGCACGGATCTTTGGTACCCTCCTGATAAGATTTATAGGAATTAAACTAAATTTCTTGACTGCGCGGACTCGTGATGATTGGAACCTTTCGAACACGGCGTGTTTGAACAGGGGAGAAGTAGGTCTGAACACTGGTCTCTTTACAGGCTGATGCAAGTAGATTGAGGGAGCTGTCAGCTTAATGGTATGATAGAAAAACAGAGAAAATGACCGGATATTTCCTGGATATGTCTTTAAGCTCAATTGTTTTTTTTAAATTATGGAACATGCCAAGTGTCAATTTTCTCATTTTGATGGAGAATGTTGACAACGATAAGCCAGATTTACCAAGCTAGCTCTGATAAATACTCAACTATTGGAGCCTTCTGTGCTACGGAAGGAGGAAATATAGAGATGTCAGAGCTTTAAATCTGTTTTATTTTTCTGTTTAAAGACTGACTGATCTATTTGTTTAATTCCTTACATCATCAGATTATTTCACATAACATTTCATATTATAAATAAAATATTCCACCAGTGGAACTAGTAGATGTTTTAATTTATATTAAGGAATTATTTACTTAAACAAGCTTATATATCTTGCTCAAAAGTTGCTTATTAATCAGTTTTGTCTTATTTTAAGTGTACAAAGATATTTTCACTAGAAACTGGACAAAAAAAAAAAACTTGGTAAAAGTTTGCCTTCAAATGATATAAATTCAACTTTACTGATCCCAAAGGGAAATTAAATGTTGTTATAACTCATATAGATTTGATTAATGATAACATTACCCAAACCATGAATTTCAGTGTTTAAATTCTAACTAATCAAACTCAGTTTCGTAGAAAATAATCCGAAATAATTAATTAAAATTGATTTTAAACACAAAAATAGTCTAATTATGGTCATCATGAATATAGCGTCTTATCAGTCTGTATCAATACTTTTTTATTAGTTTTTTTGTTTTAAATATTTGGAATGCTTCCCTATTTTATCCATGGTTTTCACACCAAAATGTTTTTTTAATTATTTTTTTTTTTATTTCTAAGCAATTATGAGGAATGGAGGCGAAACCAGAAACTGCTGCTGTGCAAGTGACTCAACAGGCTGTTGCTAGATAACCAAAGAGTGAGTGAGTTGCTAGGTAACCAAAGAGTCAGTGAGTTGCTAGGTAACCAAAGAGTGAGAAAGTCATCTCTCTGAAGATCTGCCAATCTGTGGACAGAAAACAGTCCTGGAGCGCACAGGCTGCATCCCTGGGCCATACAGTGACTGTCTTCTTCCTTGGTCTAATCCGTCTCATCAGCGGACGATATGCTGGCCAAGATGGGGGCGAAGAAGAGCTCTGTACGCACCGTGAATGTTAGTGTACACACAATCCAGAGTGTAAGAAGGATGTCATGCTGGTAAAAACTGAGCAGACTGTCCGTCAGTTTCACATGGTTAAAGTTCCCTGCAACCATGTAAAATGCCTTTGGGTGCTTCATCTGCAGTGAGCTAATGGTGTCATAGAGCTCCTTCGATGCTTCACCCGACGGAATGTAAACAGTGGTGACGAACACACTCCTGAGGCAGATGGTATGGCTGACAGCTTTTAACCAGTCCACAGTTCGTACACCAACATTCATTCACTTACATACATTGTCCTCCTCCCCGTGTTTCTCCTGACCGTTGGTCACGGTCTGCTTGGAATAACTGACGACCGTTAATCTGGAAGGCTAAAGTCTGGCATGCTGCTGTTAAGCCAGGTGTCCGTTAGGCAAAGAATGGCACAGTTCTTCATCTCTGCAGAAACTCTTAACCTCAGATCTAACAAATCCACTTTCTTACCCAGTGAGCGGACATTGGCCAGAAAGAGAGTCGGAATTGGTGGCTTCCTAGGCATCAGCTGGGTCAACACGTCCTCCCGTTTCCCCTTCTTTTGTTTTCAGGCACAATGTTTCCTTTTGACAGTTGGTGCTCGCACCCTGCTGTTCAGTCCATTGTCCTCAAGAGCTGCTGTCTCCCAAGTGCGGATTTCAGCCTTGGTGATATATTACCAGTTGAATTGTCTCCAATGGCCATCAGCTAAGCAAAGCTGCATTCAGCTGTAAAGTTTTATCCAAACTTCAGCAGTTTTCTAGTTGTCCTGCTGAGGTAGTGACATCAGTTTGTGACATCACGCAAATTGATGTCACAAAGAGAATTGTCTCCTAACAAGAGATTGAATATGAAAGCTTTTCAAGATAAAAAGGCAATTCCTAACAAATAAATAAAGGAAAACATTGAACAGTTTTTGAAATTTGTCCAGACTTAAAGGATCAAGAATGAATGAGAGCAGTAAGGCGTCGTCTTCTCATTCGAATGAATCACAACTGACCTTGGCTAGAGAGACAGACAAGCTCGAAGGCATCTTGAAAGAAGTCAGCATAACATCTATTGAGAGACAAACTCTGATTAAAGCAGCTGAGGAGCTGAAGATTCACGTTACGAACATAGAACAAGCAGCACGTGAAAAAGACGAGCTGCTTCGGGAAAAAGATGAGGAATTAAAAAAACTGTTTGAAGTAAACGGAACTCTAAAGGAGAACAACACCACCTTGGAGCTGATAAATGTCGCACTGGAGCAGGAGAACACCGTCTTGGAACAGGAGAACAATGCCCTGGAGGAGGAGAACATTGCCCTGAAGCTGAAAAACACCACCCTGGAGCAGAAAAGCACCGTCTTGGAGCAAATAAGCACCATCTTGGAGCAGAAAAGCACCACCTTGGAGCAGAGAAACACCACTTTGGAGCAGAGAAGCATCACCTTGGAGCAGAAAAGCGATGCCCTGGAGCGAGACAACAATGCCTTGGAGGAGATAAACACCGAACTGGAGGAAGATTACAACGAACTGCTGGAGGAGAACAACATCGTCAGCCAGGTAAATAACATCTTGGAGGAGGAAAACAATGCCCTGAAAGTGAATCGTATTGTCCTGCAGCAGAGAAGCCTCGCCTTTGAGCAGCAAAACTCCACCTTGGAGCGTACAAATACTGATCTGCAGCTTGAAGTGGAACAGCTGAACCAAAGGCTGAGGGACAGAGAGGAGCAGCAGAACCAGCAGCCATCTGAAGAGGAAACCCACGAAGACAACTAGTCGGTTTCAGACCAGCCACAGGAGCTGCCATCTATATTCAGACATGTGGTCAGAGGCTTCACCGATACACTTCTGAAAATGTTCGAAACAGACAATCTGAGGTACTGGGTTCAACCATGGTACTTCTAAATAAAGAAGTGTCGTGAGGGCTCCAGGCTTCATACGTGATTGTCGGTGGCAGAAAAGCTTGAGGACAACAGGACTGCGGTGTCAGAGGAGCTTGACACTTGGGGGTTGATGGTGGAAGAGCTAATCGCTTGAAAGATGTTGGCAGGAGAGCTTGAGGCCCGCAGAACTGCGGAGGTATGGGAACTTGATGCCATCGAACTCGAGTCTTCCCTCACCACCAGACAATCAGACTCTAATCTCCTTTGTCGCCAGGTAATCAGACACTTATTTTATATTATGAACTCTAGTTTTGTTTTTGTTTTAGTTAGGCCTCCACTGGCTAGAAATAGTCAGTCTCATCTTGACGCATGGCTTTGGTTCTGGACCCAGTCTCCTTGAGAGGGGCTGGACATACTTCTACTCTGGAGTTGCCCATGGTGAGAGGCACCAGATAGGAGTGGGCATAGTTGTTGCCCCTCATCTCGGCGCCTGTACATTGGGGTTTGTCCTGGTGAACGAGAGGGTTGTTGCGGGTCCTGTAGGTCTGCCCGCTGACCTCCAGGGCTTTGTTGCGGGTCCTGTCGGTTTCCCGGCCTGCCTCCAGGACTTCTTAGCAAGTCCCACTGGTCTCCGGGCTGACCTCCAGGGTTTCGTTGCGTGTCCTGTCGGTTTCCCGGCCTGCTTTCAGGGCTTCATAACAAGTCCTGCTGGTCTCCCGGCTGACATCAAGGGCTTTGTGTCGAGTCCTATAGGTCTCCCGGCCGACCTCCAGGGCTTTGTGGCGAGTCCTTTTGGTCTCTCGGGCGACCTACAGGGCTTCGTTCCAGGTCCTGTCGGTTTCTTGGCCTGCCTCCAGGNCAAATGATACAAATTCAACTTTACTGATCCCAAAGGGAAATTAAATGTTGTTATAACTCATATAGATTTGATTAATGATAACATTACCCAAACCATGAATTTCAGTGTTTAAATTCTAACTAATCAAACTCAGTTTCGTAGAAAATAATCCGAAATAATTAATTAAAATTGATTTTAAACACAAAAATAGTCTAATTATGGTCATCATGAATATAGCGTCTTATCAGTCTGTATCAATACTTTTTTATTAGTTTTTTTGTTTTAAATATTTGGAATGCTTCCCTATTTTATCCATGGTTTTCACACCAAAATGTTTTTTTAATTATTTTTTTTTTTATTTCTAAGCAATTATGAGGAATGGAGGCGAAACCAGAAACTGCTGCTGTGCAAGTGACTCAACAGGCTGTTGCTAGATAACCAAAGAGTGAGTGAGTTGCTAGGTAACCAAAGAGTCAGTGAGTTGCTAGGTAACCAAAGAGTGAGAAAGTCACCTCTCTGAAGACCTGCCAATCTGTGGACTGAAAACAGTCCTGGAGCTCATAGGCTGCATCCCTGGGCCACACAGGGACTGTCTTCTTCCTTGGCCTAATCCGTGTCATCAGCGGACGATATGCTGGCCAAGATGGAGGCGAGGAAGAGCTCTGTACGCACCGTGAATGTTAGTGTACACACAATCCAGAGTGTAAGAAGGATGACATGCTGGTAAAAACTGAGCAGAGTGTCCGTCAGTTTCACATGGTTAAAGTCCCCTGCAACCACATAAAATGCCTCCGGGTGCTTCTTCTGCAGTGAGCTAATGGTGTCATAGAGCTCCTTCGATGCTTCACCCGACGGAATGTAAACAGTGGTGACGAACACACTCCTGAGGCAGATGGTATGGCTGACAGCTTTTAACCAGTCCACAGTTCGTACACCAACATTCATTCACTTACATACATTGTCCTCCTCCCCGTGTTTCTCCTGACCGTTGGTCACGGTCTGCTTGGAATAACTGACGACCGTTAATCTGGAAGGCTAAAGTCTGGCATGCTGCTGTTAAGCCAGGTGTCCGTTAGGCAAAGAATGGCACAGTTCTTCATCTCTGCAGAAACTCTTAACCTCAGATCTAACAAATCCACTTTCTTACCCAGTGAGCGGACATTGGCCAGAAAGAGAGTCGGAATTGGTGGCTTCCTAGGCATCAGCTGGGTCAACACGCCCACCCATTTCCCCTTCTTCTGTTTTCAGGCACAATGTTTCCTTTTGACAGTTGGTCCTCGCACCCTGCTGTCCAGTCCATTGTCCTCAAGAGCTGCTGTCTCCCAAGTGCGGATTTCAGCCTTGGTGATATATTACCAGCTGAACTGTCTGCAATGGCCATCAGCTAAGCCGAGCTGCATTCAGCCTTAAAGTTTGTTTTCATTCAAACTTCAGTAGTTTTCTAGTTGTTCTGTTGAGGTAGTGACATCAGTTTGTGACATCACGCAAATTGATGTCACAAAGAGAATTGTCTCCTAACAAGAGATTGAATATGAAAGCTTTTCAAGATAAAAAGGCAATTCCTAACAAATAAATAAAGGAAAACATTGAACAGTTTTTGAAATTTGTCCAGACTTAAAGGATCAAGAATGAATGAGAGCAGTAAGGCGTCGTCTTCTCATTCGAATGAATCACAACTGACCTTGGCTAGAGAGACAGACAAGCTCGAAGGCATCTTGAAAGAAGTCAGCATAACATCTATTGAGAGACAAACTCTGATTAAAGCAGCTGAGGAGCTGAAGATTCACGTTACGAACATAGAACAAGCAGCACGTGAAAAAGACGAGCTGCTTCGGGAAAAAGATGAGGAATTAAAAAAACTGTTTGAAGTAAACGGAACTCTAAAGGAGAACAACACCACCTTGGAGCTGATAAATGTCGCACTGGAGCAGGAGAACACCGTCTTGGAACAGGAGAACAATGCCCTGGAGGAGGAGAACATTGCCCTGAAGCTGAAAAACACCACCCTGGAGCAGAAAAGCACCGTCTTGGAGCAAATAAGCACCATCTTGGAGCAGAAAAGCACCACCTTGGAGCAGAGAAACACCACTTTGGAGCAGAGAAGCATCACCTTGGAGCAGAAAAGCGATGCCCTGGAGCGAGACAACAATGCCTTGGAGGAGATAAACACCGAACTGGAGGAAGATTACAACGAACTGCTGGAGGAGAACAACATCGTCAGCCAGGTAAATAACATCTTGGAGGAGGAAAACAATGCCCTGAAAGTGAATCGTATTGTCCTGCAGCAGAGAAGCCTCGCCTTTGAGCAGCAAAACTCCACCTTGGAGCGTACAAATACTGATCTGCAGCTTGAAGTGGAACAGCTGAACCAAAGGCTGAGGGACAGAGAGGAGCAGCAGAACCAGCAGCCATCTGAAGAGGAAACCCACGAAGACAACTAGTCGGTTTCAGACCAGCCACAGGAGCTGCCATCTATATTCAGACATGTGGTCAGAGGCTTCACCGATACACTTCTGAAAATGTTCGAAACAGACAATCTGAGGTACTGGGTTCAACCATGGTACTTCTAAATAAAGAAGTGTCGTGAGGGCTCCAGGCTTCATACGTGATTGTCGGTGGCAGAAAAGCTTGAGGACAACAGGACTGCGGTGTCAGAGGAGCTTGACACTTGGGGGTTGATGGTGGAAGAGCTAATCGCTTGAAAGATGTTGGCAGGAGAGCTTGAGGCCCGCAGAACTGCGGAGGTATGGGAACTTGATGCCATCGAACTCGAGTCTTCCCTCACCACCAGACAATCAGACTCTAATCTCCTTTGTCGCCAGGTAATCAGACACTTATTTTATATTATGAACTCTAGTTTTGTTTTTGTTTTAGTTAGGCCTCCACTGGCTAGAAATAGTCAGTCTCATCTTGACGCATGGCTTTGGTTCTGGACCCAGTCTCCTTGAGAGGGGCTGGACATACTTCTACTCTGGAGTTGCCCATGGTGAGAGGCACCAGATAGGAGTGGGCATAGTTGTTGCCCCTCATCTCGGCGCCTGTACATTGGGGTTTGTCCTGGTGAACGAGAGGGTTGTTGCGGGTCCTGTAGGTCTGCCCGCTGACCTCCAGGGCTTTGTTGCGGGTCCTGTCGGTTTCCCGGCCTGCCTCCAGGACTTCTTAGCAAGTCCCACTGGTCTCCGGGCTGACCTCCAGGGTTTCGTTGCGTGTCCTGTCGGTTTCCCGGCCTGCTTTCAGGGCTTCATAACAAGTCCTGCTGGTCTCCCGGCTGACATCAAGGGCTTTGTGTCGAGTCCTATAGGTCTCCCGGCCGACCTCCAGGGCTTTGTGGCGAGTCCTTTTGGTCTCTCGGGCGACCTACAGGGCTTCGTTCCAGGTCCTGTCGGTTTCTTGGCCTGCCTCCAGGACTTCATAGCAAGTCCCGCTGGCCTCCGAGCTGACCTCCAGGGCTTTGAGGCGAGTCCTGTCGGTCTCCTGCCCGACCTCCACGGCTTCGTGTTGAATCCCGTTGGTCTCCTGGCTGACCTCCAGGGCTTTGTGTCAAATCCCGTTGGTCTCCTGGCTGACCTCCAGGGCTTTGTGTCAAATCCCGTTGGTCTCCCAGCTGATCTCCAGGGCTTCCTGTCGAATCCTATAGGTCTCCCGGCCGACCTCCAGGGGTTTGTGGCGAGTCCCTTTAGTCTCTCGGATGACCTCCAGGGCTTCGTTGCAGGACCTGTCGGTTTCCTGGCCTGCCTCCAGGGCTTCATAGCAAGTCCGGCAGGTCTCCGGGCTGACCTCCAGGGCTTCATAGCAAGTCCGGCAGGTCTCCGGGCTGACCTCCAGGGCTTCGTGGCGAGTTCCGTTTGTCTCCCAGCTGACCTCCAGGGCTACGTGGCGAGTCCCGTTGGTCTGGGGGAAACCCTGAGTGTTACATTTACTTATATTACCACCAGTATGCTTATGTCTCTTGAGAGTTCATCTTACCAGGTTGTTGTTTTTTTTTCTTCAGCTAAGCGCATTAGTTAAACGAACTTTAACATATTTTGTTGGTATTTTGTGACAGACCAACACAATGTATTGTGTAATTAGGAAGTGGAAGGAAAATACCTTGTTTCCAAAATTTTGTTCAAGTAATTGTGTGCATTTGTGTTCAGACTCCAAAATTAAGTAAAATCAAGTGAAACAAGCTTTGTGTCACTTTTCTATCATGTTCTGTCTTTTTATGTTGGTCTACCACGTTTAATCCTAATAACATATATTATGCCCCTCAACGTGATGAGGTCAGTGTATATTATAATAACATATATAAAACGATCAAACGGATCCAGGCTTCCTGTAGCTGCTGTAAAATCTGCTGCTGGGCGTCGGGGTCGTTCAGGTCGGCCTCGGACTGGAAGCGCAGCTCCAACCTCCTACTGGATGGAATCAGAGTCTGACAGATGAACTCATGCTTTTCACTGCAGTCAACATCCCACCACGTTCCGGTGCTCGTATTCATGGCAGCACAGGAAGTCATGTTGGTGACGCCGTTGTTGTCGGGCTGCCCCATCTCCCAGTTGGTGAAGTGAACTGGGGTAAGGTCAGACCAGTTAGCCCAGAGAGCTCTGTGAAGGCCGATCCAGTAGTTCGTCTCAATCAGTGGGTGGATTTCATCGTTCTCAGACATGCTCCTCACCGTGATGAGGTCAGTGTAGTGGGACCGACAGTAGTTCTTGGGATCGTTCCAAAACATAACGGTTTCCACTAAATTGTATTTTGAGCGGCCCTGTTCTGTAAGCAGAAATAAACCCAAGAAGAACATACATGCTTAAGCTTCTTTAAATTGGATTCTCGATGATAGTTCTGCAGTTCTTCCATTTTCTGATGATGGATTGACCACTGCTCTGTCAGATGTTCATGTATAATCTTTCTACTTCTCAATCGTATGCCACTTTGTGCTGGTCTTTCCCATCAAATTCCAATGAAATATGTGTCCAAGTTTGTGGTTGTAATGTGACAAAATATGGAAATGTTTTCACCTATCTTCCTTGCAAACCTCAGATGTCTGCGTGTGCGTCACCGGCGTGAAGGCCACATTACATGTGGACTTTTAATGATTTAGTTGAACGGCTCTTTTACCAGGCTGGAGGGATGATGCAACAAAAGCACTTCGTAGAATACTGAAAAAAATATATGTGAGCATTAGCTTTAATTCAGAGAAGTTGTTTGTTGCATCATCCTTCCATCCTGATAAAAGAACCGTCCAAATAAATCATTCAAAGCCCGAAGTTAATGTGGCGTTCCTGCCCTTGATGTATGCAGCAAACTTCTGACTGGACCTATGTTTCCACTGAAGTCAAAAGCATTTTTTATTTTTACTATGCTTTTGTGGAGACAGATGTCAGGGAGCAGAAGTTGTACTCGGCCTTTTAGTAACTAAACTTTGTTGAAGAAACCCAAAGATATTACCGTGGAAGCTTATAAAAGGACGCTCTGTGTCACAAATCTCATCTCGCCAAAGCCCAGTTCGTGTAATCACCGCACACACCTCTTTGGAGCCTAAATTGTTAGGCTCACCGTTTTTCCAGTTGCTAAAATCTTCATGGTTAAAATCTTCGTCTGCCATTGCCCACTTCCAGTTCGCCATGTCGTAGAAAGCCCGATCCAGGCAAATTTTTCAGGTTCCTGAACTTTCTGGAGCAGTCTGTTGTTTTCCTCCGGGCTGTCTGCGGTGGCCAGGTCGGCGTACATCTCTCTGCAGTACCGCTGAGCTTCAGCCCACGTCTTGGGGGTGCTCATGTAGTGGTACTCTCGAAACAGGTTGGTAGACAGAACATAAACCCCCACTGGACAAGGGAGTTTAAAAAATGACTAAAAATGTCCACATTTTCTTACCCAAAACTGTTTTTTATGTGGCTTTCTGCAGAAACTCACCCGAGAAGGTGAGAACAAGCAGCAGCAGCTTCTTCATCCTGTAGCTTAAGTTATTTTTAAAGCATTTACGTAATGAAATAGGAACATGTACGTAATGTGTTCTGGTTTGTTGGAGATTGTTCCCATCAGTTTGACTTAAATAGGGTTTCCTAAACAGTTTCTACATTTGTAGGAATTGTCTCAGTTGAATAAAAATGACCAAAGTAAGCCGGACATAACAAAATTTGCTGGACAAAAAAATCGTTCCAGAAATTATTGTGATAAATGATAATATTGTTTGTTTTGAGACCACTTTCAAGCAGTACACTGATAATGATATAATAATATATGTCCGCCCTCTCAAAGACTTAAAGAAACCCATTATTTTTAATAAAGTACACTTAACACTGGAAATTGAAAGCATTTTAAAAATCCAGGCTAAAACACAAAAGCCAAAAACAATAAATAAAAAGGACATAAAACACACACACACAACTAAAACCATAAATAAAATGTTGGGTTATCTCTGTAAACAAATTTGTACATGAAAAATGATTCATCATCAGAATGGAAATTGAGCTTGTGTTAAGCTATAATGCGATTATTTGCTTATTTCTATGTTGATTTCTAACCTCTGAGGAGTTAACCTAAACAAAAATAGCACTACATTAAGGAATGCCCAATATGCTTGCTAGCTTGAAGACATCTCCAGATCTCATTACTGCTTGGATCCTCGCCCTGGCGGAAAATAACTCTCAGACCTACAGGAATGGCATTTGCCTGCCTTTTTTTCCGTCACTCCACCTTATGCAAACACAGTGGAAGTAATTTGTCGCTATCATTAGAAAAGCATGTAAATGCGTACAATGAATCAAGTGAAATATTAAAAACAGTATCATCTTGAAAACGTGATGGTAGTCAACACTGTTGTTAGTCTGAAGAAATTTTGGTAGTTTGTTTTCTAGTTTTACATCCACCCAAAAAGAAGTTTTAAACATTTCTGACAGAAGTCTTCATACTACAATCACCTGAGACTCACAGCACCTGAGTGCAATGACTGAAATACATTACATTTAGTATTTGTATTAAAAACTCCTAAAAGTCTCGCTATTAACATTTTGCTTAAAAAATGACAAATTGTGGCGCTAACACACACCCATTTAATAACACGGTTTATTGCCAGTTTAAAAATAACTTAACATAGTTTTTACACTGACTAAATGAACAAAGTCAAACATTTACAATGTATTTAAAAGGCACCACTTAAACATTTTGTGGCCAAAGAATGACAAGTTTTTCTTTATTTTTTTATACATTCAAACCACTCTTGCATTGTATTGCATCATAGACTTTTTATTATTATTATTATTATTATTATTATTATTATTCTTTTAACAACCAACAAATGAAAAAGGAAGTAACAGATGGGTATAAAAGCCAAGAAAAAGGTCAGGTATGAAGTTCAAATGGTCCATAGAACTTATGATTCCATGTACAACATAAAACCATCATATAAAGAGAAAAGCAAATCATTTGCATATTTCAAGTTTAGGAAACGCATATGGTATTACAGGTAGTCGTGTCAGGTTTTACTTTATTAAATAGTCAAAATGGACGTTACACAATATTACCTGCATACATACATATATGTAGATTGACATATTCCAGAAAGGATTACATGAGTTTATGACTGTTAGCTTAGCAAAAAAAGAGCTACTGAAAATGTCCTTGACTGACTTGACTATGGATGTGAATTTCTGTAGGTTAGGCTTATGCATAGTGCATGAAAAAGGCTGAATATGCCTCATGGTTTTTTCTTTGGTTCTTTGTGAAAAATCTGACCATCCGTCTCCATCCAGCGAAGTTTGAACTCTGTTAATCCGTCAGCTTCCATTTTAGCATGCAGCTAAATGTCAGATTAAAAACAAAACCTGTGTCAGGGTATGAAGAACTTTTTGAGGATAGATTGTTCTTAAAGTGGCATTTACAGTATTTACCTGCTGTAAAATCTGCTGCTGGGCGTCGGGGTCGTTCAGGTCGGCCTCGGACTGGAAGCGCAGCTCCAACCTCCTACTGGATGGAATCAGAGTCTGACAGATGAACTCGTGCTCTTCACTACAGTCAACATCCCACCACTTTCCGGTGCTCGTATCCACGGCAGCACAGGAAGTCATGTTGGTGCTACCTTTGTTGTCAGGCTGGCCCGTCTCCCAGTTAGTGAAGGTCAGTAGGCTGTGGTCAGACCAGTTAGCCCACAGGTCTCTGTAAAGGCCGATCCAGTGGTTCCTCTCAATCAGTGGGTGGATTTCATCGTTCTGAGACGTGTTCCACACTCTGACCAGGTCCGTGTGTTTGGACCGACAGTAGTTCTTAGCATCTTCCCAAAACATGAATGTATTCACTACAACGTATTTAGAAGGGCCGCGTTCTACAAGAAAAGAGAAAAACGGCAAAAAATTAACTTCACTTATATTCTTTTCTTTAACGCTACTACGGTTGTAGAACGACGCTCAGGAGGAGCACAGAAAATATCACGGTCAGACAGTGGGGAAAGTGGGGGCTCGTCCGGTCAGACCGTCAATTTCTGAAACCGCACAGAAAAAAAAAAACTCATGAAAGCGAGGACCGATTTTTCTTGACCTCTGTCTGGCATAGTAATCTTTATTTTAAAAATGTTTTACAAAACTGTCTGCCTTTTTTACACAATAATGTGACAGGAACGGAGCAGAGAGAAGGGGGTAAAGACGAGCAGCAAAGGAACTGAGGACAGGAGTCGAACTTGGGACGGATATGTCCAGGTCTCTAGCCTGTGAATGCAGAGCGCCTGCTCTAACCAGTGCAGCATATGGTGCCACAAATATATTAACCTTTGATGATTTATTGACAGTAGGTTGGGAAGTGATACTTGAGTTTTTTTTATTTTTTTTTTATTTTCTTACCGTCAAAGCAGATAAAAGGGCGCTCTGTGTTGCAGATTTCATCCCGCCAACCTCCAATCAAATTCATCACTATGCAGCTCTGCTTGCCGCCATAGTTGTCAGGTTGATTCGGTTCCCAAGGTGGGAAACTGTTATTGTCGACAAAGTCATCGTCTCCCGTTGTCCACTTCCAGCCCGTTGTGTTGTCATAAAGCCCGATCCAGGCAAACTGTCCGGATCCCTGCAGTTCAAGGAGCAGTCTGCCGTTTTCCTCTGGGCTGTCCACAGTGGCCAGGTCGGCGTATGCCTCTCTGCAGTACCGCTGAGCTTCAGCCCACGTCTTGGGGCTGCTCACATAGTGGTACTCACGAAACAAGTTGGTAGACAGAACATAAACCCCCGCTGGGTAAGGATGATAATAAAATAACCATGAAGCTTTTTTTGTTTTTTAAGAAAATGGAATCATTGTTTCATTTTCCACCTGAAAGAAAACTCACCTGATAAGGTGAGAACAAGTAGTAGTGTCTTCCTCATACTGTAAATTTAAACATTTTAAATATTACAGTTTTTAAATAATGGGTTAAAAAAACAAAGCACAAAACATGTAAATTACACCTCCTAATTCATATGAAGAGAAAAGGCAAAAATTAAAACTTAATGGACATTTAGGATTGATCAATTGGGAATATTTTGGACAATTTACATTTGAGAGATATCTCCTTCAAGTCTAAGACTTAATGAATGGTTTATTTGTAATTTGTTAATAAATAAAAGCATGACCAAATAAGGAACATACGATATACTTACTTGGACTTGAAGACAGCTCGGGTATCCTGCCAGGATCTTTGCTTTGATGAAAAGAATCTGCTTACCTTTATTGTATTTCTCCTCCTTATTTTCAGTATTTAAACCCAATCTGAGTAATTTGCTGCTTTCATTAGAACAGGATGTAAACAAATACAAATTAACTGTGTGAAATGAGGCAGCTAACCTTGCCTTGACATTAGGGAAAATACCGTCCTGAAGACATTTAGTGGTTGTTAATAGCGCAGGTGTTTTGTGTTTTACTGTTTTCCATTTTCAAGTCAAGCATCCAGCAAGGCATTACTTAAGCATAAAAATGAAGAAGTTTGGCTCTTAGCAATGTACCGTATCTGTGTGTTTCTAAGCCGTTCACACCAAATTTAGCTAAATCCAAAAGTTAGTTTCTGCTCTGTTTTGAATGTATTTTTAGTCATCAAAATACATTGTAATGTCAAAGACATGCAGAGGTAGTACAACAAGCAGTTTTCAATACATTTTATTTATTTAAGGACAAAAGCTTTATACACCAAAAAGTAATTGTCCTTTGAAGCTAATAATCATGGTAGCAATATCTATTAATCAGTGTTTTGCAATTCTGTTGGGGTATATTTATTTTATCTTTTCGACTCGTCTTTGTCAGAAACAACCAATCAGAGCCAAGAGGAGGGTCTTAGCGGTGTCAGTCAGTCAACCTCGTGAACGCACTGATAAATGTGTTAAAGGCAGAGAAACAACAAAAGGGCTTGTCTGTCATCACATGTGGCCATGCTGACTAGCCTTAGCGTTCACTTCAGGCTTTGCTGATGGGGAGAAGTTGTATTTTTTCCCCCCAGATTACCTGTCTAGATGCAGTGACAGCTTCAATAAATGTAACTTTTTTTTTTTAATAAAAATTACACTCTAGCTTTAAACCTTCTGAGTTGGATTTCGGTGTTTGACCCATTCAAAGGTGGTTCTGCTCAACAGCCTAAATGTTCTGGAGCTTAAAGTAACAAGCTCATGGTTAGATTTTCTGATTGAGCAAAGAACTCATGGTACCATCAATTACAGGAAGTCTCCCATGTCCTATAATTGGTCCAGATTTGACCAGTGGTTGGTTTAGCAGTTAGCCCAGCAGATTTTACAGTACAAATCGTTGTAGCACAGCAAGAACTGTAGAACACCTTCCTTCACTTGGACGGTCAGCACTTACAGTGTAATAATGGATGATGAAATGGCCAACTTTCAATTAAAGACTTTTAAATGTTTGTGTCCTTACCTCAAGGAGAATGGATCAGTCGAATGAACGGGCAAACGTCACACACTGTTGTTCTTGTGGTTTATGTACTTTAAAAAGATTTTTTTTAAAATAGGATGTCGAAGAACACAGAAATTATAAATCGGACGTAATATGTCCAGTAGACCTTGACTTTTAACACATGCTTTAACCCAATATATTTTAATGGCATAAAAACGACTGGGAATCCATTCAAAGTGGCAAATAAGAACATAGATTAATTTATTTTCATTCTCTTTGTGAGAAGAATTGATTACATGAGCGAAGCCACATGTAAGTCTGTGCTCTAATAACAGAAATATAATTTTTTTTCCCAGTGATTCTTTAAATACCAGAAGCCAGCAGACAAAACTTAAGAGGCTGGTCATGGTTGTAAGGCAACCTTATACATTCTACATTATTATACATGATATTTCTTTATATTATACACCTGTAATGCACTTAGTTGGCTTCCATTAAAATATATCTTTTCCTAATTTAATTCACAGTAAATTTACCCTTATTTTATAATCTGAGTTGATTTTGGTAAAAAACTCACAAGGTACCCTAATTGAAATTCATGAACATGCAATTCCTTGTGTTTTAAGGTCAAATTGACTTTTTTTATCATGCCCATTAGGCCAAGAAAAATATCTGTCATCATGCATATTTTACTCCAAGCCTGCAAATTAAATTTATATCTTTTTAATCTTTTTTTTTTAACTAAATAAAAGTCCCTATTAACCTCACACAAAGGGTATTTGCTTAAAACAAAAACTAATTTTGTAAAAATTTCAATGTTAATGTTTTGCACCTCAAATGACAAATTGTGATGTTAATAAATTTACACAGTTTATTGTTGGTTTAATCTGATTTATTAAATTACTCAAACATTTAGTGATCAAAGACGAATTGTAATTCAGACTGCACAAGTATGCCATATTTATTTCATTTTAAACTACAGACGAGCTTTAGAAATTAATAAAATAAAGTAAAGGTAATGGAATTTTAAAGCAAGTCAGATCATTTAGCATAACAATAAAACTTCAGTTAAAGAATAAAGCAAACTATATGTATGATTATAACCCAACTTAAGAAAGACTGTAGTACAAGTAATTATTCACAATTTTTCAAGACTTTTGAACCACAGTCCATCAATTTTCCAACCCCATAAAACAAAGCAGAGCAAAAGGAACGCTGCATATTCACATAATGCATAGATAGACATTTATAGGGGAAAAAGTCTTCTGCTTCTCCCATCTGAAATTTAAATAACTTAATAAAAAACAAATATATCTTTGACTAACTGTTACAAATGCTGCTGAAATAATAAGACCAAATTTTAAAAAGCTGATTTTTTTCTTATGTTTTCTCCTTTGTATCCTTGTGAAAAATCTGCCCGTCTTTCTCAATCCAGCGGAGCTTGAAGTCTGTTAGTCCATCAGCCTCCAGTTTAGCGTGGAGCTAAATGAAAGAAAAAACTGATTAGTTTTTATGGTAGATTGTTAAAGTGCTGTCCACTTGATCAAAGAATATTGTCATATGTCTGACTGACTGAATTTTCTGTAAATAATACAAACAGGATAGCTAAAATAGTTATATAATACAATCTCCATATCTCCATAGTCAAACAAAGCAAAGGAGATATTCTAATTTCCAGTCTTTATAAATATTAAGTATCCATTTCACCCTTTTCTAGTGTATGATAAATCATGATGTTGTACAATCTGTCATGTGAGTTTTAAGTAATTTTTAATTTGGTTATAGAGCTGATTTCCTATAAATTATTGTGCTAAAACCAGTTTACTTTAATTGATGAGTTTCTGCAATATTCAAGATATTATCTACAGTCTTAAAATAGTGAACAAATAAGAATATAATTGAAAAGTGAAATAATTGTATATGGTATGATAGTTTCAAGCCTTTTGTTTCTGTTAATCATTGTGAATTTCTGCTAACAGCTGATGGAAATGCAGAGGTAACAGAGATTTTACCTTTTGAACAAAAAAACGTTCACAAATGTGAGCCAATTCGGAATGCATACTCTAATTTATTGATTAGTAGTAACTCTGCACTCAAATTCTGCACTTTTCCTTTAGATTTGCTATAATTATAGATTAAGTTCTCAAAATAGAGAGGAAACACCAGTTTTCAGGCTTCCTGTACCTGCTGTAAAATCTGCTGCTGGGCGTCGGGGTCGTTCAGGTCGGCCTCGGACTGGAAGCGCAGCTCCAACCTCCTACTGGATGGAATCAGAGTCTGACAGATGAACTCGTGCTCTTCACTACAGTCAACATCCCACCACTTTCCGGTGCTCGTATCCACGGCAGCACAGGAAGTCATGTTGGTGCTACCTTTGTTGTCAGGCTGGCCCGTCTCCCAGTTAGTGAAGGTCAGTAGGCTGTGGTCAGACCAGTTAGCCCACAGGTCTCTGTAAAGGCCGATCCAGTAGTTCCTCTCAATCAGTGGGTGGATTTCATCGTTCTGAGACGTGTTCCACACTCTGACCAGGTCCGTGTGTTTGGACCGACAGTAGTTCTTAGCATCTTCCCAAAACATGAATGTATTCACTACAACGTATTTAGAAGGGCCGTGTTCTACAAGAAAAGAGAAAAACAGCAAAAAATTAACTTCACTTATATTCTTTTCTTTAACGCTACTACGGTTGTAGAACGACGCTCAGGAGGAGCACAGAAAATATCACGGTCAGACAGTGGGGAAAGTGGGGGCTCGTCCGGTCAGACCGTCAATTTCTGAAACCGCACAGAAAAAACAGACAAACCTCACTCATTCTCTTCTTTGAAACTACTATAGATATTTTTTTCTTCTACTGATTTTAATCCTTACCATTGTCTGACCTAAATATATTCACTTCTGATGGTTTTATTGTCCTACTTTTCATCTTTGCCACTAGATTTTAAAAATGAAAAGTTGAGTTACCTACCGTCAAAGCAGATAAAAGGGCGCTCTGTGTTGCAGATTTCATCCCGCCAGCCTCCCATCCAGTTCATCACTATGCAGCTCTGCTTGCCACCATAGTTGTCAGGCCTATTCGGTTCCCAAGGTGGGAAACTGTTATTGGCGACAAAATCATCGTCTCCCGTTGTCCACTTCCAGCCCGTTGTGTTGTCGTAAAGCCCGATCCAGGCAAACTGTCCGGATCCCTGCAGTTCAAGGAGCAGTCTGTCGCTTTCCTCTGGGCTGTCCACAGTGGCCAGGTCGGCGTATGCCTCTCTGCAGTACCGCTGAGCTTCAGCCCACGTCTTGGGGCTGCTCACATAGTGGTACTCACGAAACAAGTTGGTAGACAGAACATAAACCCCCGCTGGACAAGAGAAAATTTCTTTTTTTCAAATTACCTCATCTTATAACACATCTTCTGTAAACAATCAATATTATATAAATATTAGAATATAAGCTGTGAAACCAACAGTGGGAAATGACCTCAAACAGCAAAATGAACAGTCCTTATCGTACTGTTAGTAGCTGTTATCCAGCAAATGCCATCAATTAGCGTTAAATATTTAGCTTTTTTTTTTCTCGAAAGAACAATTAATAATATGATTACTGCCCATGTAAACAACTGATGGCTTGTTACAAAAACTACAGCATTCATGGTAAGATTATAGTGGACTGACAAGGTCTGGATCTCTTCACTTTCTACAAAATCACTACTGTATGACATCTGTCCACTGGAGGTACTGAAAATAACTTCAGATAACTTATCTGTAAAAAAACATCAGACCTGTCCCTTTGAGTTTCACCCTTCTGCACAACTGACAGACTGACCTGAGAA